TGGATTTTTCCAATATCTTATTTGGTTATCCTTCTATTAAGATTTTTCTACATCCTCTCAAGTCAATATTGATAATTTACAGTTCTCTGAATATTGTTTTTTCTAGATTTTCAAGTCTACCAACATAAAATTGTACCTGATATTTTATTAAAAGTTTTCAAATCTTATTTTAAATTTCCAAGATTCTCTATTAGTTCATTTTTCAAAATATAATAAACTTTCAAACTTTTCCAAGAATATCAATCAGATTTAAGGTCTTCTACCATTTGCTCAATCAACTCTGTTCCTTAGCTGTTGTTTGATCTGTTTGTAGAGGATCAGGCCTCTCTCTGATTTTATTCCCTCAGCTGTTGGGTTATTTGGAGCTGCCAGTTTATCTTTTCATTAGATGATCCTGGTTCACTTGCCTGGGGATGTCTGCTTGTTTGCCATAGGCTGCTTCTAGAGAGTGTAGGAGAGGCGCAAAGAAATGATGGTAGTTAGATGTGCGAGAAGCTTATATTTAGGGTATAACTGTTCCCTCTCCTGAAGGTCAGTAGTCACATGAAACCTGCCCTCCTCTTTGGTGTCAATGCACACACTAGTTTCTTTAGCTTTGGAGCAAATGCTGTGGAGGCCCAGTTTTGCACAAACAGCAGAGAGTGAAGGGGCTGAATAATGCATTTGCTCTGAAAGCAGTCAGTCCCCTACTTGCTTTCGTTTTTTTCCCTCTAAAGCTTTCTGCCATTTCTGTATCAATTGAGGATGCCTAAAGAACTTTGATTAACTCTGTAGCACTTTCTCTGTATGTATGGGGCTGTGGCTTCATCTAATCAATAATCTATAATTTTAGATGTCATAAAATCTCTTATCCATAGCACTATGGATTTTGAAATTTTGGTTTCTTATGGGATTTTGGATGGAAGAAGAGTTGTACATGTGTGTTTAATTCACTTTTTTGATAAAATCACTCTTCCCTTTTGCAAAATCTCTTTCTGCTTGTTTTGGGGGATCTATTCATCCTCTGTCACCCATTCAATATGGCCTACTTGGGTCTTCTAATAACTTTACTCCATTCCTCTGGCCACAGTGATTAATCAAGAGTGGACATATGACACAATAATGTTAACATTGTGAAGAAGAATGTCTCTTTCTTCTGGAGTTCTAAACTGGAGCTGCCTGTGTCATGTCTCCTACCAGTTGGAGGAAGCCTGTTTGCAGTAGAAGGGAATGAGGCCTACACTGAGAGAATCAGAGAAAAGAAATGAAAAAAGAGTAGGAGAGATGAGAGACTGAGACACATGCATGTCTCACACTCACATGCACATACACACTTAATAACATTGTTAGACTACTTAGATCCAGTTGACCTTAGTCCCACTCACCTCTTCTGTTTACCAGTTAGTGATCAAGTAATACACCCTCCCCTTTTTGTGATCAAATTATTTTGAGTGGAATTTCTTTCATTTTAACCCCCAAAATTATAATACACTGTCTGGCTGGCTGATTCGCTTTAGGTTTTTAGGAAACGTTAGGTTTCCTCTTAGATTTCACCTGTTCCTGGAAGCTCCCATGAGCCTTAAATCTGCAGGTTAGATGTTCCTCTTTGTCTTCTATCTGTTCGCATTGGATCGTGATATTTTTGGCCCTATAGTGCAATTATTTATTCATCTCTCTCCTCTCATTAGACAACAAACTCCTTGAGGACAAGAATTGTTCTTTTCATTGTGTATCTGTGGGACTTAGTACCAGACCTAGAGCATAACGAGAACTGGATGACATATATTGAATAAATGAATAAATAATTTTCTTAGCTGTTGTAGATGCCTAGCAGTAGATACCTGGACAGAACCCTGACTTTGGGTAACTGCTATGAGTTTTTGATCATCACCAATGCTAATATCCAATAGTGTTCTTTGTGTACAGTTATTAAATATTTCTTGAAGTTTTTAGGCAGCAAAAGCAAAAGACATAGCAGTTTCCAGGTTTCTTGGTGGAGGTTTAGGCCAAGGAAAATATGCATCCCCTAAGGAGATTCTGGTTCCCATTACAATTCTTATGCCAGAGTGTCTGTGGTCTAATTGCACTGTCAAAATGACAGACTTGGGGAGTTCTTGGCTTGGTTGACTAAAAGAGAGTCCTCATTTCTTCAAATAAAGTGAGTGACACTCATACTTCATCCATTCAGATGGCTATGAATACAGGCATTTGCTGCCTTCATTTTCTGCTCTGTTGTATCATTACCCTAGCTCAATCTGGTTGTTTACTGCCTTTTCAACACATATGATCTGTGAACCACTGAATGAACTACAAAACATGTTACTTATAAAAACATATCAGGAAGATTTCTAGATTATGAAAAATCTCAGATCACGAATAATGGTTTACAGGGGCCAGCCTGATGGCATAGTAGTTAAGTTCACGTGCTCCACTTCAGTGGCCCAGGGTTTGTGGGTTCAGATGCCAGGTATGGACGTATATATGCTCAGCAGGTCATGCTGTGGTGGCCACATACAAAGTAGACGAAAATTGGCACAGATGTTAGCTCAGGGACAACCTTCCTCAGACACACACATATACATACACACGAAAAGAAAAATGATTTACTGAAAATGTGCCTCTATAATCTAAGAATAACATGAAATTTCTTCAAAAAGGTGAGTAGAAATAGCTAAAAACAATTGTTAAGTTCAAAAACAAAAGGCCAATTTTCTTTAAACAAAAAACCAAGAAAAGTATGATTTATGTTCTCTATTAATAATTAAAATCAATATTTAACAACTATTCTTAGAGGGGATTCATGTATTTTGTTCTAATCTTCTATCCACAATTAAGAAAGAAACTAGAACCAGCCCTGATGGCCTAGTGGTTAAAGTTCAGAGCTCTCACTGCTTTGGCGACCTGGGTTCATTTCCTGGTCTTGGAACCACAGCACCCGTCTGTCAGTTGCCATGCTGTGGCAGTGGCTCATGTAGAAGAACTAGAAGGACTTATAACTAGGATATAAAACCATGCACTAGGGCTTTGGGAGAAAAAAAAAAAAGGAAGATTGGCAACAGATGTTAGCTCAGGGTAAATCTTTCCCTGCAGAAAAAAAAAAAAAGTACACACACACAACACAAAGAAAGAAAATAAATTCTGCCAGTGTTGTCTAAATTGAATGCTTGTTTGAGAATAAAGTTTGGAACCTTTATGTGGTTGTTGTGTGGCCTCTGTTTGGTCCTGGAGTAGTGAGATCAGCATAAATAATTACGTTAGTGGGGCAGGTTCCTGCCTCCTCCACGAAAGGCTGTTAATTGAAAAATAGATATTTGTACCAAGGGTTATCAGACACCTCTAAAATGCCATAAAATATTGTAGTATATTTTGTTAGGTTAATCCTTTAAAATTCCATAAGTGGTCTAATTGTTGAAGACCCAATATTCTTTCCTCAAGGATTTTTTTATAGCTCTAGTCAGCTTGGGGAAAATTACAAAAGACAATCGAAAACAGAGGAGCCGATCCCTGTCTACTTTCTCCATTTTGTCTTTCCATAAGCATAAATGTCACCTAAATATATCCTTACAACAGAGAAGAAGGGCATGATTGTGCAATTAACAAAGGGAAAAGGGAGTTCTTTATGAAATTTTTTCTTGATGATTCTAAATATCTCCTTAGGCTGCTGTTGAAGCCACTATCATTTTCCCAAAGTTTTACTGAATAGATGAGATAGGATTGTATTCCAAGTCGATAATTATTGCAACATGTCACATTATACGATGTAATTCTGAAAGGAAGACGTTTCCAGTGAAACTTTGTCAAGTGACACTTCATTTAAACTATAGCATGAGGAAATTGCAAAGAAGAAATTTTAAGGAAAGTCAAAAGCAAAAAGGGTTCCTTGTTTTCCTTCAGTTCACTTTTAAAGGCTGGCATTAGAACAAGCACCCAAATGGAGGGTGAATAACGGTGACTGAGGTGTTTATGAAGTAAGCAGTTTATAAACTCCAGAACAACAATCCTCCGGAAGGGAGAATAGTTGGCACAACCCATCTTGTTCTTAATATCAGGAAAATTATAAAGATACATAAATATCCCCTTATTCACTATTTATTTCTGAACATGGCCACTCCTATCCCTTATACGTCTAGGCAATGTAGCTTCCTAAAATAGTTAAGAACCTAAGAAGCACTTTTTATGGCATCTTTAGACTCCTTAAGATGTTCTCTCATGCAGGATTCACTTCTAGCAATTACAGATATGTGCTTATATGTAAGGCTGTTCAAAAGTGTCTCCAGGTAGACCATTTATCGTAGAACTGCAATTGTATGCACTGTCACTGAATCACTTATGTCATATTAATTGGGGGGCTACTATGTCCTGCATTATACTGTATGCCATGGTAGAAAAACAGGACATGATCTTTGCCTTCAAGGAAATTAGAGTTGGGTTGTGTTGACTGTATCAATCCACAGGAAACTATTAGGAAACCATATAACACAGTGCATATTTATGTGCTTATTGGTGTGGTGAGAGTAGCCAATATTCAGCAGAAAGAGATCAATTGGAATAAAATAATAGAATGTGATTAAAGAGTTTGTCTAAACCCTTCCTTTGAGATGCAATGCAATTAACGAAGGTTTGCTTCATTGAGGAAGTGGGATTTGAATTAGGACTTAAACAATGAGCCGACTGAAAATAAATGTGAAATTAGATGAGATTTCACTGAATTAATTTATTTTACTTTTCCTGATTTTCTTTGTATGAAGACATACATACTCTATCCAATTGAGCTTTGTCAAATAATCCATAAATACATAAAGTATCCATGATTAACAATGCTTTTAATGCCAAAAGACAGCTTATTTTCTTAATCCACGGCTCCCTTTATGTAATTACTCTTTTTGCAAACTACTAGTTGGTTATATTAACACTTGAGTAATCTTGACAAGAAGTTGCTTTAAGCAGTTAAAGATCCAGATGCTGATCAGCATGCATTAAGTGATTCAGCTTAATTGGTTCCATCTAGATAAATTACTTACCTCAGTTCCTATCACAATTTCTTCCCTGGGAGAGTAGAAGAGAAACTCATACAGCTTGTAATGTTGAAATAAGCTGAAACATGAAATAAATGTACAAATCTGATAAATTTATTTCAGGACAAAAAGCAAATATGTAAGAGTACTTATTAAAGGAAAGTTGTTCATATTGACCAAACTAAAAATATCAAACACTAATATGGTGTTAGCCATCTCATTTGTTCCAAAATAAACTGTCCAGAAATGCTAAGAAAGTAAAAGTTTACTTTTTGAGATGTTGACAACATCACACAGTATCTAACATAATACCAAGTAAATTAATCTGTGATGAGTGGATAAGTTTGAGATAAGACAGTAATTATATTGCATCTTGACTTTTCCTGGCTTACAACCAAATAATGCACTGCCCATAAATAACACTAAACTTCACAGTATTTTTCATATTTTGCTCCAAACTGGAGTCAATTTCCTCTGGCACGAATGGCACTGAATTCTATAACATACGTCCATATCAATTACTTCTCACATTCTCAAACTGTTTGGAGATTAAATTAATCTCTGATAAAACCTGAAAAATGATGCAACATGAACTGAAATCCATTTAGAAGATGTCTGATTTTCTCGTAGGATATTTGATCACACATCAAAGAGAGGAATTAATTTAAGAAAGATAATTTCTTCAGTTCCTACTCTAAAGACCAGGTGGTCAGTGTATAAAAACTATAAAGAGACAGAGGATAGGAGTTCCCTGAAACAAATATTTCTAGTAAGTTTAAAGATCTCAGCAATATATTATTGAGAGAGAAAAATTTACTGAAGGGCTGACTTCTAATACCCTGTTTGTGATAATATTTGAATTTTTCTAATTCTCTTCCTGCTGGTTGGGAAAATTAATAAACTCATAATACAGCAAAATGCCCAAGAACAAAAAATTGTCTTAGTGGTTTCTCTTTCACTCTGGTGCCTTTTGCTATTTAAGAAAATTGATTTTAATATAACTGAGAAATTAACATTTGCAAAATGTAGCTACAGAGCATGTATAATAATGGCTTCTCCTGAATGCTGTAATGGATCAAAGTTTCAATTCATTTGAAATCAGTGAAGAAATCCTCAGGCAGCTGGGTCTCCCTGAGTTATATTAGCAGTTGATCTCACTACTAACACAATCCATTAAAAAGTGATGGGTGTGCAGACCCAGTCATGGATTTTTTTTTTTTTTTTTTTTTTGGAAAAGCAAAAACCCTTGTACATTCAAATTAGTCATCAACATTCAGAAAACTAACTTAGCTTTTGACATTACTTTGATTTGTTGGCTAGGAAATACATCAAGATTAGTGAAGTCTGATGATTCAATGAAGCAAAATAAATTCAAATTCTTCCTCCCTTGCATTGATTACCTAGAGAAAGCTTTAAGGTTAAAAATATTACACTGGCAATTACTGATTTTGAGTAGAAAAATTAAAGAGTGTAGCGCATTTTGGAAATAGCTTGGCTTCCTGTCAGTGAACTAGTGTAAAATTTTCCTTTCTCCATCTTGAAGTTAATTCATAAAGCTTCCTTCCTACAATTTTATAATCGTTCAGCCTTATTCTCTTCATCGCATATAGGAATTAGATTGTCCCATGCCAAAAGGGAAATCCATTTCTTACAATGAACATAAAATGCATTTCCTGGATGCAGTGGTCAAAGATGGAAGGCTGGGGCAAGGCCAGGACTAGGGTGAGAGGGACAAGGGGAGGGAGGCACCTAAGGACGCACTTACTCAGGGGCAGGTCAAGTTGCCTCCATTGCCTCAGTCTAGTCCCCACCTTGGAGGCGGTTCTCTAACTTTACCAAGGAGCTATCAGATGGCCTTCCATGGGAACAAAGTGACACTTCTGCTATGGGTATACATTTCCTCCCTCTTTCTTTAGACTTCCGGCTGACTCAAGCCCCTAGACTATTTTGTCATCCATCTTGTCTTAGTCCTAAATCAAAGGGAAAATACTCAGAATGAAAATGGGTCAAGACATCTGGCTCCATGACAGGAAGTGCCATACCCTGCTGTGCATGAATGGACAGTGCTGATTTTCTTACATTGAGTATCTGTGCACATGACCTTCACCTAATTCCCAGGGAATAGACAGAATACACAAGGACAGAAGTGTACTTGGACCAGATATATATAAATTACGTCTTGTATTAAAAAGCTACAACAGTATTTATATTTATATTTGTACATGTTATACAACATATACAAATGTAGATACTGCACAAGTAGATTAGTCAGTACTTACAGCAACGCTGGGGAGGAATTTTGGTATTTTTTTTCAAATCACACACACATGACAGAATATAAAATTGAGACTCCATTAACAGCATCAAATGAGATTTCACTTTTATTGCCAGTTAAGTTTCATGTGCTATGGGTCATCTTCTAAAAAATTCTCTTCCTAAATTGACAAGGGCTTTCAGTAGTTGAGTAAATTTAGTATCCAGTTAAATTGAAACATGCTTGTACTTTTGATAATTGAGTTAGCTTCCTATTTACACAATTTCTTGATAGTCATTAAAATGGAAAGTATATTATTTAACTGCCATTAAACCTACATTTGTGGACCTATGAGGCATTCTGAACAGGTGTTGTAGAAAAGTACATTTCTCTTTACACAATTTCAGTATCGATTCCAGATATGCTACTGATATTTTATTTTTTTGTAACAAGTACATTTAAAATGTATAATTTCTTTGGAATCACAATATAAAGATTTAAGAGCATCAGAAATAGTTCTGATTTACTTTATGTGACTAATCTCAATTTTTTTTTTTTTTTGAGAAGTAACACTAGGGATTTTTGGCAGGTGAACTTATGCTGGTTAGGATCTAATGGTGACTAACACTGATACCCACTCCTAACTTAACCATGTTCTGAAATAAAATGTCAAGAAATACATTGATGAACATATGTCCAGAGAGATGAGATGAAAGAGAAAAAGAGTTGCCATCTTTCACCATCTAGAAGGTGTCATGGCGGCGCCTGCCATGGTTTTTGGGACTATAGTTAACTATCAGAACCAGTGCCCATTATAAACCTCCTGGGCTTAGAGCTCAGCTGAAAAATGTGTTCTGCAAGAGAGACCTGGCAGGTTCAAATACATAGAGAGAGAAGGGAAAGAAGGATGCTATACAAACCTGCAGAGAATTCCCCTCGCCCAGTGATTCCCAAACCCCGATGGGCAGAAAGACCTTGGGGAACAGGTTCTCCTCCAGCTCTGGATTTCCACTCCCTCCCCCCACCCCCATAAGGACTGTGCTTTACTCTAATTGATTATGAAGACTACTGCGGCTTTCGGTGAGAGACACACATTAGGAGGTATGTTTTTATATTAAGAAATCATATTATACCAAATGCTATATAGAAAAACATTATATCATGTACCATTATTAATTCATGCCAGAAACCAGCACATAAACCTTATCATATTAAACACATTAATATTTAAAAAGCTTCCAGACTACAACCAGGATCCTTGCCAAACAAATCACGAGCATGTCTAGGACATCATGCAGCACCTTTTATTTTGGAATTTTAAAATTTAAAGTTGGAAAAACTGCAGCATTTAGTATTAGAGGAAAAAAGATATTCTGCAGAAGCTTTTAGTTACGCAAAAGAAAGACTTTTTTACCCACTCTTGTTTAAATATTTGCAAACTCTCAAAGTGTCCTTTGGGAGAGATGCATGACTCCAATGCAGACCTTGTGACAGATTATATAAAGAGACAGATTTCTTAGTTCACCGATGAAGAATCACTGTAATAAAAAATACTTTCCCTCCATCCACCACCATTTTCTAAGCAGAAAGAAAAACTTAATGAGTTTAATTGGTCAATACTACAAAATATTTCAGGCACATAATAAATTTGAGGAAATATGTACATAAATCTCTTTAATTTCTGATACAAAGCATTTAAAGTAAATGTTTAAACAGAAGTGAATGTTTCTCTTTAAAATGTAAAATTTTGATGTGAAGGCCAACAACCTAAATATAGAGTCTATTGTAATCAAGTCTTGATTAATCTGAAAGAATTATTTTATTAATAAAATGGTATTAATTACAGATTCAGAGGAAAATGAAATTCTTAGGTAATTTATTATAATTCTAGATGAAATTATACTTACCAAACACAAACCTTCTTTTAAGAATGCAAGGTTAGCCAAAACATTTAATGTCCTGACTTTTACTTATTGGATGGAAGATTTAAATATTAATTAATTACGGGTTGGGTTTATTACTGTATAAATTCTGTAAATGTCTAACTTTGCAAAAAACTGAATTAATTTCTATTTAATAGACATTTTCTAGAAGGTATGAAATGAAAAATAAATGCTACTGAAAAAAAGTCCATACCTGACTTTTAAGTAATCAATGATAGCATTGGCTTGTTTTACATCAAAGATATTCCATGCTTCATTTTTTTGTGAATGGGATGGTCCTATTTCAGCCATAACTTCTCCAAGCCATTTTAAGCTGTCTTCTAATGACATACGCAGTGCTGAAATAGAATCCAGAGAAGTCATAAGCATTATTTTGATAGATGTTTTGGAAACAAAATAATAATAATCCAAGATGTGTAAAAATTTACTTTTTTAATATTTCTGAGGACAAATGGTAAAACTATTGTTTATTTATGATAAATTAATAATTACACTTTGTGTAAAAGAATAGTAGCTGACACATCCAACAACAGAAAATTACTGTAATGCTACACAATTGTCTAAAGAGTTTTCCATTTTAAGATGCAAAAGCAAATTCAAAATCTATTTAAAGATTTCTTTAAAATGGAAAAGAATAAATTTTTTTTTTCAATCTTAGAATAAGAACATACATAGAAATGACAAAAAAGTTGGTTGGATTAGCTGATGTGGAAGGCCTGCTTGGTAGATTCAGTGACTGTAGACAGCAGAGCTGAACTCAGAGCTCAAAATGCAAATGAACAGAGTCGACCCACACTTGGCTTTAGCTGATTGTTACCATGTGGGAATTTGGGCCTGCAGATTTTCAGTAAATGCCAGAAATATGGATTTTTATGTAAAACATCAAGATATTTTTTTCTTTTCCAAGCTACAGACTTATAGCTTATGTAAGCTGTTTCTCCAATGTATGCCTGGTGATGGTGGTGAGAGCCAGATGACAGTGCAAAAACAGTGACACTGACACCACTTTGCCACCATTACCAAAAATGAACAAGTTCGATGATTGTGATCTATTCTTTGGCAACTAGAAACAAACAACAAAGCAACACCATCTTCTATGGCATTTGTCCAGATGGAAAAAAAGTAGATAGATGCCTAGATTTAACTTTTATAGTGTCTATAATACAAATATTAATTTCCATCTTCTTTTCATGTTTGGTTATATTATGCTCTTTTTTACTTGTGGCAGGCAAATATTGTTGATAATACACACACACACATCGCTTCCAATGCCCTGAGGATGAATCTGGGTAACTGGAGTGTCCATAGTGTCCTTTATCTGCTGACAAGTGATGGTGTATAGACATAAAGCTGGAGAGCCTGGACGTGGAGAGTTGAATGGCTCTAGCAAAAAAATGAAGTTGGACTGGCTGCCTGGGGGAAGCGAATGTCAGCTGGGGGCCTGGATGAAGGCTTTGGGGAGAATTATGCTGTTCAATGTGAACGCCACCCTCCCAGTCCCAACCAAACCTGTCTGTCTCTCAGGAAACCATCAGTAAACTTTCCACTTCTTGCTAATGGAGTGGATTTTTCAAGGAGGTAAGAGGGGAGAATGCAGAGGAGTTAGGAGAACGTAGGCTGATTGTTGGACCCAGCCACTTCCCGAGTACACAGATCCTCTTTCTTTCTGGGATGTAAGTGCTATAACCCCAAATTACTAACAAAATGACAGTAGAGTAAAATTTTAGGAAGACACTATACACACTTACTTGTACTTTGTTTAGTCTAGATTCTTTTCTACTTGTAGGAATTAGAAAAAAGCAAAAACCTATATAACAATCAAAATCTGGTTTAATGAATGACAATTGGCCCAGTTCTTATGGCCTCCCCACAGATCATCTTTCACGTATGTCAGACACATAGATTATTGCTGGATAACTAGGCTTTCCTATATCATTCTAAGTGGAGCTCAATTATTACTGTATATTTCTTTTTCCATGATAAACTTCTTTTGGAAATGGTGGGAGTAACTTCAGAAATGAAAAATAATTGGATAAAAGCAATTTAGAAATGAATGGATTAAAAGCCTGAATCATTTTATTAATAAAATGGTATTAATTAGAGACAGAGAAAAAAGAAACTCTTAGATAATTGATTATAATTCTAGATATAATTATACTTATCAGGCACAAAAATACAATTATATGACTATTTCCTTATGTTGAAATATTACTGACTCTTTAAAACTGTTTTTCTATGTCTAATGTCTTTCTATAGATAATGGCTTAAAAAATTAGGAAAGTTATCATTTTACTTATCTGACTGAAATATTTGCTCTTTTAAAAATCACATTTAGTGATGTGATTAAAACATGAAAGATTAAACCATTTAAATAGTAAGGGCTGTTAGAAATAAAATTTATCTTTGAAATTTTAGGGTAATAAAAAAGAACACACTAGACTTATAATTAGTTGGAAGACTTCAGCTCGTACCTCATAACTGCCGCTTACTAGCTAGGTGATCTAAGCTTGATTTTCCTTAACTGTAAGTGAGAATAATACCAATTTTCAAAATTATAGTGCTGTGGTAAGGATCACATTAGAAATGCAGGTGAAACTCCTGCTAAACTGAAAAAATACACATACTAGCGTATTACACATGAATAGTGCTTTCTAGAACTCAACCCAAAGCCAGGCACGTTTCATGCAGTAGTCAGGAGGATGGGCTGTTACTCACTGGGGTTGACCTTTGTGACCTTAAGGAGTTATTTAACCTCTCTGAATCTCATTTATTTTTCTCATATTTAAAATGGGGATAAAAATAGAAGTATCTCACAAGGTTGTGTGTGAATTAAATCAGACGGTATTTGGAAAGCAAATGGCACTATGACTGGCACAAGTTAATCCTACACAAATGGTACCTATTATTATTATTATCATTCCTGTTTGGGGGAAAACAATTCAATTTCATAGAACTAAAAACTATACTATGGTTATTTACTAACATTCCCTGTATAACGTTATATACAGGGAAATCAATCTAGGCCCATGGACCTGGATGGAGGCCCAATACCCAGTCTATTCAATACTTGAAAGCTGGTCCTTGGTCAGTCCCTGGAAATATTAGACCCTCAAATGTATATTGTTAAGATAACTATACAAATCCTATGTTCCATAATCTTTTGGTTGATCCAATTTGATCTGAGGTGGGTTGTCTGCAGAATGCCTTGTACATAAGGCCGCATAAGTTTGAGACAAGAAACAGGCCAGAAATCGGGTCAGTGTAAAATGCAGTTCCCACACTAGGATTTTATTTATAATGGCTGACCACAAGACAGCTCACAGCTCCAACTGCTCTTCGGTGCTTTTTCTATTGAGCTGTTGCTGGCTGGGAGAGCTCAGGACTCTACCTCTTAGTTTAAACATCAACACGAGCTTACCTCCTTCCCTGGCACCCTTGGCTAAGATTGCGTCCTTTCCTGAGGATAACTATAACCTTGTTAGGTTTAGAGGTTTAAAGGGACGTTTTTTTCCTGCCAACAGGAAAAACTAGATCCCTTGCATTTTTTCTGGTTAGGTTTTACATACGTACTCTCACTTTCTCTTGGTTTAGGAGTAGTTGGATGGATCCTACTCAAGTGTTAAAAATTCATTTTTGAACTGATATCAACAATGTAAAGTTTCACGTAAATGAAATATTCTTGAGTCATTATAAGTTATGCAAAGTTTAAAATGGAAATATCATGTCAAATATGGAATGTGAGATTCATGAACATTTTTTTACTTCATTCTGTTTCTAGTTTGTGAAGACAGCTCACAGGTTGTGAAGCTTGGGACTGTTCATGTCATATATTCTTTTTTACAATTTAACGTTTTGCATAGGTGATATGTTCACCTAGTTCAAAAAATATACGTGAAGATATATTGTGAAAAGACTTCCTCCAACCCCTGTTGCCCACATGCCCAATCCCCACACCTTTCCCTACAGAAAATTTAAGATTAGCTTTTCCTGAATATTCCTAGCATTTTCTGTTTATATATAACAAATAAGATACATAAATTCTCATTTTTGTCTTTTACAAACAAAAGCAAACAATTCTGCACCTTGCTTTATTCAATAACAATATACAGTTCCCCATACAATATGTAGAAAGCTTCCTCATTCTTTCCTTTTTACAGCTGCATAGCATTCCATTTTAGGGATAGACTAATCCCTACTGATAAACTTTTAATTTCGGAGTAGTTTTAGATTTACAGAAAAGTTGTAACAACACTACAGAGAGCTCCCATATACCCCATACACAGTTTCCTCTATGAACTTTGCTGTGGTACATTTGGCACAACTAATGCACAAATATCGGTACTTTATTATTATCTAAGTTCATACTTTCATTGGATTTCTTCAGTCTTTATGACAGTCTTTTTTCTGTCCCCAAATCCCATCCAGGATACCACATTACATTTAGTCGTCATGCTTTCTTAGACTGTGACAGTTTCTTGACATTCCTTGTTTTTGATGGCCTTGACAGTTTTAAGAAGCACTAGTCAGAGAGTTTGTGGTATGTCCTTCAAGTTGAGTTTTTCTGATATTTTTGTCATGATTAGACAGGGATTAAGGGTTTGGGGAGGACCACAGTGCCATTCTCAACATGTTATATCAAGTGGACATGCTATTTAACACGGCTTATCACTAACAGTGTTGGCCTTAATCATGGGCTGAGGTAGTCTTGGTCAGGTTACTCCACTGTAGAGTTAGTTTTTCCTCCTTTCCATACTGCCCTCTTTGGAAGAAAGTCACTACGTGCAGCCCACACTTAAGTGGTTGGGAGTGTGGGTTTAACTTCTTGAGGGTGAAGTGTCTATATAAATTATTGGAAATTCTGTATGGGAGATTTGTCTATTTTACCCCAGTTAATTATTTTTCCAATCATGAATTTATATCAGTATGGATTCATGGATGTTAATTTTATACTTTGAATTACAATTCAATACTCTGTTTTTTTGTTCAAATTGTTCCAACTTTGGACATTGGGAGCTTTTTAAGTTGGCTTCTCTATTCCTTTGACACACCCTCATCATTTTGATTTTTGAGCACTTACTTTGGCCACTATAAGGTGCCCCTGGCTCATCTTTCATGTCCCCTGCTCCACGTCTGCAATCAGCCATTTCTCTAAGGAGCCCTGGCTTTGTAAATTCGAGAATGAAATTATAAACCAAGACCTGGGTCCTGGGTATGCTCATTGCTACTGGGATGTCATTACTTCCAGGCCCTCTCAGTGGACAGAACTAAGAAATATATGTGTGTACAGTTAACTAGACAACTATTCATCTGTATCTATATTAAGTTAAACATGAGTTCA